TGTAACCATTTTCGACAAATACTTGAATAAGGAATTTCAGTTCATTTTCTATATGTTTCTGACTATTAATATTATATTGACTAGAAATATTCCAATCTCATAAAAATCGTAAAAGAAATAAAACGTTTTATAAAATCCCTTTTTTATGCCTTCTTTATCGGAATCAAACCATTGTATGACAGTTTGTAGGAAAATGTTGTAGGTATTCTGCTTTTTTTTAGTATTTTAAATCTTTCCCAAGATCCAAAGAAACTATTTTGTTTAGCTAAAACTTCGCCAACATTATCTTTGTCTATTTTATACATTATAACTTGTCGTAGCTTAAATTTTTTTCCATAATTTGCCCTAAAGTAGGGTTTAAGCATGTCTTTTATATTAAAAAAGTCTTGCTGTGTTGGCTTTTCAAGAATGAAGGGTTTTAGTTACATCCATACATCCTTACACCTTACATCCATAACAACCTTATCCCAATCTCAGGGATATCTGCGAAGATCGTTTTTCTTGCATTGCTAAATAGATGGAAATCTGCATCATTTGGCAGAAAGGAGTGGCTGGTATTATACAAAATGATAAACCGCCATTATCATTTTGTATAATACCAGCGTATTATACAAAATGATAATGGCGGTTTGTTATTTTATTTCAAGTTTGGTTTCAAGACCTAACTTAAAAAAACGACTTGAAATCAGATTGGAAATCAAGAACGAATTCAATTCAAGTTTGCTTCTTGCATAACACTTTAGTCAGACTTTAGATTTGAAGTATAACTTGGAATTTTAAGTTCGCTTCTCCTATTCGGGAAAGATTTTTGCTTTTTCAAGTTGGTTTTTCAAAACTAACTTAAAAAACAGCCGGTTTTCAGTTCAAGGCAACTTTTCCGTAACTCTTGCGTACTGAGCAAAAGTTACGAAAAGCTTACGCAAATTATTTTTTGCGTAACTATTTGGTATTTACAACTTTTAAGTCAATTTTTAGACTTGAAGTATGAGTTCAAATTTCAAGTTCACTTCTTGCATTTCACCCTATTTAAGTGAAATTTTAACTAAAAAATGTACTTCAAATACGCCATCATTTAAAATCATTTTATTCATCATAACTTACTTGCAAAATAGTGTTATAATAGCTCCTTTGAAAGATAATACTTGATTATATTAAGTTATGCAATAAAAAGAGAGATAACTTAAACATTCAACTTTTTTTATAAAAGCTGAATGTTTAAGTTATAAAATGGTATACAATGATTGTGTTTTTAAAAATGTATTTTTTTTTTTACTTTTGTCCACCACCTGGCCAACTGTGCATGGAAGTTTTATTCTTCCATGCATAGTGTCTTTTACTCATTAAAGTTATATATTTTTATTTTAAATTATATTAACTATTATTTTTTGTCCTTTTCAATCTTTTACTCATAACTTTGTGACATGTTTACTTCACAACTCTAATTAAATTTTTTGTCACTGTTGATTTGTCTTAGATTTAACTTGTTCTCAATTTATTTTTATTTTACTGTTAGTGGTTTTACTTAAGCTATGATCTCACTCAAACTTTGCTATGATCTCTCACTAAAACATGCTACTATTTCACTAAAGCTTGTACTTCTTCTACATTTGATTCATCCTGCCATTGCAGTTTATACTACTACATTAAGGCTGGTTAGGATTATTTTTGTAATTTTTTTTTGTAATGTTACTTAAGCTGATGTCTCTCATCTCTGCTAAAAATCAACTCCTTATAACCATCAGGTTCAGGCAGGTGTGGAAGCTTTTATTTCTTCTTGTTAGTTTTAAATCAAGTCTTACTCCACTCATGGTTTCCTCCCTCTTGTGCAGCTTCTATTTCTAGTCCGACTAGAAATAGAATGATTACGACTAGTAGTCGTAATCATTTTTTCATTTTTTTTACATAGACAACTTTCTATAAAACAAGTGTCTTTTTATTATCGGAATCAATGCAAAAAGGTGTAGTTTGACACTTAGGTTTCTAACTCTCAAATTGCTAAATCTTTTATTTTATTTAAGAAGTTACATTCTAGAACCTTTTCAAATATAATTAACAATATCATAAATAAAAGTTAAACCCATTATAAAGTTTTACAATTTACTTCTCATACTTCGATCTGATTTTATTTCTTCTCCTAAGCAGATAACTGAACTATTTGAAAAAAATATTTTCTCTAATTCATCTATTGTGGCTACACCCTTCATGTTGTTCTTAATTAATTAGTTAAGCTATTGTTAGACAACCAAATTACTCCTGCTTCTGTTGTAAAGTTATTTCTTATATAAACTCTTGCAAAGCTTTTGATCTAAACAATATTCCTGTCACCAACTTACAAAAATGTTCTTCAGAACTCTCTTTCTAACTTTCTAAGCTATTTAACAAGTGCTTAATATCTTGTTATCCTGCCTCCTGAAAATTAGCTTCAGTTGTCCAAATTTTTAACAACTTTTGAAATTGCTCTGATTTCTACAACTTGTTCAATCAGTCATTGTAGTGTTATTAACAAATAAATAAACTTCTATCGTCTTATCTTGAGTCTAACAGTTTGCTCTCTAACAATTAATATGGATTTTGATTCTCTTTTTTCTACTGCTGATATGTTTATCATTATAACAAATAGGTTTTATATTATATTAAATGTAAGCACTGAGGCAAGGCTGTAGTAAGCAATCTGGGTTTACATTTGACCAGGGCCAGGCCCAGTTTTGATAAAAGATAGCCAGGTCTGGCTTTGTGATCGGGGCGGCTTGAACATTGATACATCTTAAAAATATAAAATTTTTATTCGAAATTTATGATATATATGTGTGGGTGTATGTGTCTCCCTATATAATCATCATCATCATCATCATCATCATCATCATCATCATCATCATCATCATCATCATCATCATCATCATCATCATCATCATCATTAGCTTCCCCGTTTTATGCTATTTCTCTCATATAAACAATATAAAATCTTGATCTTTTTTCCCTAACTGAAGCTTGCTTATATTTTATGTAATGCATTCTCTCCGAGTTTCCTTATTTCAACCTCTACTTTTTTCTCCTCATTTCTCATTACTCAACATACCCAAACCACTTTAATCTTCTCTAACCAACCTTGTCCGATACACTCATTATTGCTAATTTATGTCTAACGTCATAGCTTTTTTTTCTTGTTATAGTCACATCCATCTGATCATCATCTCTCTCAGCAAATACTACGCCATGTAAATCTAAAATGCACCTGCACCATCAATTTGATCTAATTTGGTGTTCACACTATTGGTTGCTCTGGATAAATCGTTCTTCTGTGTGTTATACGCTTTTTTATGTTTGATGTGATGGGATTTTAAATACATGTAATAAACATTTTCTATAAATAACTCCGAGCATGGTATTGCAGTGATATAACAAAATAGTCTATAATCAGATTTCTAGGTTTCTATAGGTTTCTATAATCAGAATGTTTTCTTTTTCTTAATCAGTGATAAAATCAAAAGGTTGAAAAAATAGTTCAGGCGCAATTTAAAAATGAATTAACAATCATAAAGTTACAATCATAGACCTCGAAAATAATATTTTATTGGCTGATTTTTAATTAATAAAATAAGCGAATGTTATAATAGTTGAAACTTTTGTACAATTTATTATTTGTAGAATTTTATTTTACCCAGGCTATTTTAATCCTATTAAAAGTTTTAAATAAAATCTTCAAATTGTCATTAAAGATAAAAACAATTTTGATTTCTGTATATTTTACTTTATAAAGAAAAATGAGTTGTTCTGTTAAAGCTGTTCCGATTAAGAAATCAAAGCATTCCAATTTAGAAGACCTGTTGCTTTGATTGGAACAAAATGATGCCTTAACAAAACCAAATTAATTTATAATAGCAGTGCTATCAATTAAGTCAAATTATGGTTAAAAGTATATAAGGGTTGTCTGTTTGTATTAATCAAATCATAATTAAACCATCTTCGGTAAAAAAAAATTACTTATTCCTTAGGTGTTCCACCACCTCCACAACTCTCCCAAATTAAAACTTGTATAAATATGTACAGATATTGTAAGACAGCATGTAAATAAATTGCAAACATGTTTATATAAAATTAATTAAAATTATATAAAATTCCAAAATTAATCAACATCCTCTCCTGTGTATCAAGCACCTAAGAGTATTAAAGTCTTAAAGTTAGTATCTTCTTGGATGGTATATGTTTGTTATATTTTAGCTTGTCTTCTGATGAAGTACCTTTTTTTATGTCCAAAATTGTAAATGTTGTTGGACCTGTTTAACTGCCAAACTTGAGCCTCAGTTAATAATAAAGTTGCATCGCTTTTTTCACTTTTTTACAAATATTATTCTGGTCATTGCTATTATCATTTGTTTCATCAACCATGTTTCATCATTTGTTTTATCAACCATGTTTCATTATTTGTTTCATCAACTCATTTAAAAAATATAACAATTTTTTAATCTTTAATTTATATTTAGTGTTATTTTTTAAATCAAAAATAAAAAAAAAATTTTTTTTGCTCATATAATAATAAAAAATGAAGATAATAACAACTATGATTAGTTATGGTTTTATTTAGCTAACATCTGTTTCCTTATTTGTTTAGTTATGATTTGGTGATTAACATTTAAATATATGTTTTTGATCAAATTTTGTTTTTTTAAACTAATTTTTTTTTGGATAAATAACTTCTAGTAAACCTGTATAATAATTACTTAAAAATCCTAAAAAGTGTACCAAAAAATATTTATTGTTTTTAAATTTACCAAAGTAATGATTATTTAATACTGATGATGTAAAAGCTGAAATTAGGTGAACAAAGCTTTTAAAAGTGAATTTTAAAAAATGACCCATTTTAACCTTTTGTTAAAACTAGTTTTCAAAGAATGTATAATTTTAATTTAATCTTCTGTTTAATTTTTAAAATTTTGTTTTTAAATTTTAAAAGAAATTTTTTTAAAGTATAATATTTAAAAAATTACTTATTTTGAAATAGATCTACAAATTTCTTTAGAGGATTAAAATAGAATGAATCAAGAAAGATTACATAAGCTTCCAAAAAGTGTTCAGCCAATTAGCTACACACTGTTATTGTTTCCTAATATTGAAAATTTTATTTTTCATGGAGAAGAAACAATTGATATTGAAGTAAAACTTTTAAACTTTTATTTGTGTTTAATGTTCTATTTATGTTTAAGAATTTGCGTATGTTTTAGAATTTGTTCAAGAATTTGTGAATTTTTATTCTGCATTCTGTTTTATGCAGGTGTTTAAGCATTTTAAAGGATTCTAGAAAGTAGAGAACATCTGGCATTACTTTTGCCCAGGCTTTAATAGGTAACAAGGGATCGCAAACAGAAAATGAGAATACTCATCAGTTATGGTTAAAAGTTATGGTTATTAGTTTTTAAAAGAATAGGTCCTTTAATAGCTAGGTTCAAGTTTTCCAATGGTTATGTCATCTTGGATTTTAGTCGTTTGTGGCTTATCTGTATCTGGTATCTTGGTATACATTCACAACATAATTTTCACTGTTTAGTCATTTGTTTAACATCATCAATTGAGAAATGTAATTAAGGGTTTTTAATAAAAGCATAAAATCTAATTTCTCCAGAATGACAGATTCATTGATGAAGCTGAATTAAGTTGTCAGTATTTATTGCTGAGCAATGTATTCTAGAAAATGTGTCAGCTGGAATATGTAGTTTCCCTTCTTTGTAAACAATGTCATAATTGTAAAAAGGTAATTCAATTTTTCATCAATAAATTTAATCATTTTTTGTTTTGGATTTGTGTTCAAATGACTTATTATGGATTGATGATCAGTAATATGTCATTTGCAATGTCATGTTTGAGTACAGCAATTGCAAGTTCATGTTAGAGTTGATTGAAATGGGTATATATTGTTTTTGGTTAGAGAAGCTTTTTTTTCAGAGAAATTTGGGATCCATTTAGAGTAGTATGAGAATAGTCTGATGATATGCTTGGATTTTTTTATTTTTATTTTTATTTTAATTCACCTCCTCAAGGCCGAGAAGGCCACTACAGACGAGGAGGCTACTTATTTGTGGTTATAACCCTCTCTCAACTCTATAACTCCGAAACACGAATCTTGACGAGCAAGGCCGCTGCGCGGAGAAACAAGTTGAGCGCGGTACTACCAGGGACGTGGTGGGGATCGAACTCGGAACCACTCGTTTATGAAGCGATTGGACATCATAAGGTAGAGACATCTCTTTCATTGGTTGAAAGTGACTAGGATCTGGTGCGATTTTTTCTTCCTCTATAAGGTAACCAAGAATGCGAATTTTATTTTGTGAGAAACTACATTTGTCATGATTAAATGTAAGATTATTTTATCTTGAAAACATTTCATTCTGACATATGGTACTGTTTCTAGTACTCTTAGGTGGTTAATGCATGTATAAAAAATCAACAAAAGAACATCTTTAAAAAAAAAATTAAAAAAAATAAAAAAATGTATATATATATATATATATATATATATATATATATATATATATATATATATATATATATATATATATATATATATATATTAGGGGTAGTCATTTTGAGGGAATTTTTGAAATCGAAGTACATACCCAGCTAAAGTTGGAGCAAATATGCTAAAACTTTGTCAAAATTTTTTTTTAGTTTAATCGGGTGACTTTTAAGTCCCCCTCAAGACTAAAGTTGTTAAGAAATTGTACTTCAAAAAAGGAAAAATAGGGTGTGTTCAGTGTGTTTGAGGGGGATTTAAATGAAAATTTATTTCCATTTTTTGTTTTGTTTTTGTTATTTGACATCTATATTTTCATTTTAAAAGGGTATGTCATCATGTTTTTTACATATTCTTGGTTAAAACGATATTTAAGAAATCAAAAAATGAAAAGTTTAATTTACGCAAGTGGTTATGAAATCAGCAAATTATGTATTTTCATACTTAAAGTTCATTCAGATGGACAGACGTAAAAATTCCCGCTTAAATCAACCAAAAAAACAAACTATTTTGAACTAAACAATTAATTTACCATTTAATAAAAATCTTTACAAATACTATCAAGACAAAAATTATGCATTAATTGAAGTAAGTATTTTAAAATGAATAACAATTTCCTAATTCTACAATTTCCTTTTCTTCAATTTAGAGAGTGACATCAGGCTTTCTGATAGTTTTTTTTTGTATTATTACTTTTTCCCACATCAAAAACCTTGAAAGTTGACCTTACTTTGTTGACAGTTAAAAGTCTGTTCTGCTTGTCATCCTCATTTTCGAATCTTTGTACAAACTGCTGCATCATTCCGATTGCTGGTTCAGAATGATCATTGACAACAATTAACATTTTGGCAAAGTTTTCAAAATTTTTAAACAAGGACTGGGTGTGCCAATATTGGGGTAGTGACAACCAGTGACAACCAGTCTCTCACTCTCTGATTATCCAACCCTATCATTGAAAAAATTAAATATGAAAACTCATTAACCAAAAGATAGAGGGTTGGTACCTTCATATTATTTATGATATTAATCTCGTCTATTTGATCTTTGCTTCTATGTTTAAAAAAATCTGGATCTGGTATTTGGAAGGAAAGCAAAGCATCTGCAATGGCTGTTTTTTTATCCATAGAAATATTTTTATCCAAAAGAGCCAAGGGAATAATCGTTGAATCAAGATACTATGTACGCTTATAAAGAGATGCTAACACTGCGTCTACTGCCTCCGGATTGGAGCAAACTTTCTTATACTCTTTCATCTGAAAGATTGCATCAAGATCAGACGCAGGAGATTGAATTGCTTTATGTGCTTGAAGGTACCACCTTGTGTAAAAACATACTATGAACTTGCAGATGAGTTTTAAATCTTCGCGTAGATTATCATTTTCTTGCACAAATGTCAGTTGCTTGCACAAAAGCTGAAGTTTAAGGTAGTATAAACTCTTGCCTAAAAACCTAGCATGATGAACAGCTCCAGTTTTCTTTAATTTGAAATGTGCAGAAGGGGATAAATATTGCATGGTTAGCTCAGCTAACTCTCTTCGGTCATTCCTCATGTTGCATTTTTTAGTAATATAGGTCTCACAGTAATCTAAAGTTTTCCTTGCAGCTTCCTTCAAAACTGCTCCTTCCACGGTTTTCCAATCAAGAGAGCTCAGGTTATTTTCGTCGTATTTGAAGTTAGGGTTCTCAAACATATGTTTAAACTTTACGAATAAAGGATTTTCAGGCCCTACGCTATTCTCTTTTATCACTTCTTCACAGAAATGAACCATTCTAAGCTCAATGATATGATGCCTACATGCTAGTAGAAGAAGGTATTTGTCACCCTCTCTTGCAATCCTAATAAGTGATCCTTTCTTAGAACCAGTATTACTTGAAGTTGTATCAAAGCATACTCTGCATACTTTTGAAATGAGGTCATATTCTTCTAGTATTTGATTCCTATATACATATTTTCACCTGAAGAAGACGGCAAGGCAGGTACTCCAAGAAGATGCGACACCCCCTCAATATTAACGAGCACAGCTAATCTTTCATTCTTCAGTCTTTTTCCCTGATTCATTTCAAACAAAGTCTTTCCGTCAAAATGAATTATACAGGGATAGCGGCTTTTTTCCACAGCCTTCTTTATATCTAATTTAGCAATTTCTGCAGTATCCTTGGCAGTTTTTTTCATCTTCCTTAATGCTGTTGAAGCACTGGCTTTGCATTTTGCGATATCAACTCCACAATCTTAAAGAATTGCTCCAGTTACTTTTTATAAGACATTGGGGGAGATATCATTTGCTGTAGCTATGATAGATACATTTCCATCAAAAATATTCTTAGGGACTTTGGCAGTAATGTTGCAATCATCTGCTCTTTTATGATGCCAAACTTCGGGTTCAAATTCTGAATCAGAATCAGCGCTAGTGTCAGTGAAACTCAAGTCTAGTTCTGAGGTAGCATCAATCTTAGGAGATTCGTCTTCTAGCCTTGTCCTCTTCCTCACACCTTCAAAAACCTAAAATTTGTTTTAACATAGTGTATGTGTATTAACAAATAATGTATGTTAAATTAGCAAATTTTAATAAAAAACGTCAAATTAACCCAATAAAAACAACACAAAACCTTTTTGCTAAATTTTCTATCTTCTGATCCCAAACTAAAATGTCTCGGTCATTCCTGGTCTTCCAAAAAAGTTAAATCATCGTGCTTATCTTTATCTGAGCGTTTTTTATCCTACCTAATTTGGTTCTTTAAATCTGTAGAACCAATCCAAAACAGCTTTTTCAAAAATGAAATAAACTCCCCTTGATTAACCTTGTCTCTAGCTGTTCCTCTGCATTTATTTCTACTCAAATCTGAATACTTCTTGTCCATCTTCATAAGGTTCTTGATAATACTTTTATCTGACATTACTTGAAATCCCGCTTTAAGCCATGGTCTTTTAATTAAGCCTAAAATGCATTCACAATCATCTACTTCACATCTCTTGTAACCCTGAATCTTGTAAGGAGGGCATAATAAAATTGCTGACTTCTTAACATTATGAGGAAGAGTGATCTTCTGTAGACAATGTCTTGAAAAACATCCATTCCAGTAGGGAGTTGAAGACCTTAAGAAAAAAAAATCAATATTTTAATTTTTAACAAAAAATTTAAAAATCAAAACAATTTTTTTAAATTAGATATGTACATGTAATAGCTGGTTATAGCCTCATTTATGATAAAAAGTTTGTTTTTGCTTGATCTGAGAAACTTCCTCTTCCCAATATCTTTTACATTTTTTTTTCCATTTTTGTATTCAATCTAAATATATTTAATGGTCTGTAATTAATTAAAAACTTCAATACAATTTTACTTTATATTGTAATTCAATTAATAACAATCAAGTAAATACAAAAGTTATTTACAAAAATAAAATAATGTAACGCAATTTCACGTACAATTTCTTTATAAAAACTCTTAGTGACTTAAAAATACAGTGCAGGATCTTCAGCACATTTTCTTCTGCATTATTTTATAAGAATTTTTTTATTGTTGCCGATTTTCATAACCTCTTGCATAACATAAAATTTTTATATATATATATAAAATATATATATATATATATATATATATATATATATATATATATATATATATACATATATATATATATATATATA